AAGAATCAAGCCAGCTTGACTTGCTTGTTGACATCTCTGCCTAGAGAGGGTGACAGGTGTAGCAGATACAGGAGACAAGGAGGAGTGGGACGCTCCATTTGAAGGCATATTCAAAAGGATTGGGTTTGGGTTTGGGCTAGAGAAGTGGGGTGGTACTAATACGTATGACGGTATTAGTAAGAAGTACAAAGAGGACATGCGGATGTTCAAACTTGTTTGAGCGTAAGTAGATATGGGAGACCTTATGATCACAATGACGCTAACGCTCATCTCTGAACAGTTACTGTCGTTGACTGTGTACAACAAAGAAGACGGTATTACAAAGATGCATCGCTGTATTGTGTGCAAAGTGTATACGCGCGCACTTTGATTCATAGTTCGCTGTTCCTTTGTCTTGACAATGTCATTATCCAAGACATAAGGAGTGAGGATGAGTGAAGGAGTGAAAGTGAATCACACTGTTTCAGCGACACACTCACTCCGTCGGTATTGCGTAAAAGGGCGCAGGTTCGCCAACCTAGAGGTCCGAGCGCCTCTTGCTCTCTATTGTTCTATTGTTTCCATTACTTTCCAGAACCACTCTACTCTCTACAACGCAAGCAGCCAAATCAATTCCTCTTTTGACTCCACTCCCCCACTTACAACACAATTGTTTCACAACAACCTCAACCCCTCTGTCAGATTCTAATATACGACTCACGACGCAAGTCAAGCACGGTCACTTCCAAGGTTCAATCTACCCTGCAAACTCTACCTAGGTATCTAGTATACACCTGGGCACTCTATAAGACAATTCAACTACGACGGCCACGACATCTGTCATCATGAATACCGCGACATCTCAGCTGGAGAATTCCAACATCGAGAACGAGGCAGGGTATGAAGGCACTCACACCGCGCCTCGGATTCAGGGACTGCCTAGTATCACGGATTTGCAGCGCTTCACTCGAGCCCTGCAAGACGGAACTGCATTCCGCGCGGACACCTACCGACCCAACTACGGTAACCACCCCGCGAGCTCCTATCGACCCGACTACAACAACCAGCCCACGAACTCTTATCGACCAGAGCGCCGCTATCTCTCCCGTAACGTTGTGCGCCCCTCAAACTTTGCCGAGCTCGGTGCCATCTTCGTACCCAAGAAAGTGCACCATGAGCGCGAGAACTGCTCTTCTGTGAGCTTCTGCGACCACCAGGAGTTCTACATTGCCTGGGATGCACATGACCCTCACAACAACCACGGCTCCTACAAGCCGCACATGCAACGCTTCGAGGACCGTTCGCCTTGGGCAGAACATCAGAACTGTCCGCCCCCAAATATTCCGGCCTGCCTCAAGAAGCTCGCCAGGAAAATCATCGGAAAGTTTGAAGGCATGGAGAACGGTCGGCTGAGCTACCTTGATATCAAGGATGGAAAGGCGCCGCGACGTGCACCGCCTATCCAACGTGTGGAGCGCGAGGTGCAAAACATGTACTCACAGATGTTCCGCGGCAAGTACGATGAGATCATTGAGGTGAAGGGGGCGATGAGGGCCAAGTTTGATGCTGGTACTAGGCGCAAGGAACAAGCCAAGCAGATTTGGCTCCAGGCGAAACTGGATGGACATCGGGGCGAGATAGCAAAAGGCATTAACGTGGATGAACTGGAAGATGATACACCGATCGTAAAGCAAAAGACTAAAAAGACGCCTAAGCAGATTGCTGAAGACAGGGTCCAGCGGAGTCGTCTGCGGAAGGGTCTCGCAGTGAAGACGAAGGCTGCTCCTGAGCCCAGCGATAGGTACAAGATCACAAAGACCAAAGTTGCTCTCAGCACCCATTCTCTATCCAACAGCAAAGTAGCCAAGGAGGTATCAAAGCTCACTAGCTCACCCTCCAAGACACCTGCGCCCAACTCAAGGAAGCATAAGAAACCTCACACTGACGAAGACACCATAAATGCTTCATCTACCAAGAAGTACAAGTCCGCTGCCATCATTGAAGATAGCGATGAAGAAGCTGACTACCCACTTCCCAAAGCACCTCCCCCACCATCCACTCTACCAGAAGAAGTCGTCTCCGCCCCCGTCCGCGAAGAGTGGTCTGCCGAGGCTGAGGAGCTGGTTGAGGAATTACATCACCACGAGGACGAGCGTGAGGCAGAGTTGCTATCAGTCAGTTCAGTCAGTCCGGAGCTCTCTGGACTGACTGAACTGACGTCCTGAGGTCACTGAACTGGACTGGACTGACTGCCAAGACTTTTCAATTAAACTAAAACTGACTGACTGAACTGACGTCGCCGCGGCCTGCGGACTGACTGGACTGACTGAACTGAGTTACCTGACGTCGAACTGAGATAAATGCTCCTGTACTTTTGAGATTTCTTCCTCTGATAGTGTGCGCGCTAGCCCAGAAGCTGAGGTAGTTGTTGGCTGTATACCAAGCCTCTTCCAGCTCTTCAAGCTCTGCAAAGCTGAAATAAGCTCTGGCTTCATATGGAGTCTCCGGGTGCCTAACATGTCGCCAAGCTCGCTGAAAGTCCGCTCACAGTCTGCCGCTGCTGCTGGTATTGTTAGGACGTCAATAGCGAACTTTGAGAGTATAGGGAACTGCCCAGCAACTGACTCCCAGTATAGAAGCGGATTAAGAGACAGCCAATCCTCCTCAGCTAACGCTGGTTGCCGCTTCCATATCTCATACTCATCCTCAGCAAGGCTTGCCTCTAACTGCCGTGTGCTTTGCTCAATTGACGACTGTAGAAAAGCTGATCGCGACGTTGAAATCCCTAGCCGGGGCTTCTTACGCGGCGGCGTTACAGTGTGAGCTGAAGTGGCTGCAGAGTCCTTCCGCCCCTGCCACATGCGCAGGAATGCCCGGTGGTTATTGTCAAGCCAGCCGTCGCGATAGTGGACACCGTCACGGGCAGTGACATGGGTGTCAGGCACCTTCCAGAGCGCTGAGAGGGTGGTGTTTGTAGTGCGGGTGTAGTATTGTAGCAGTGTAGTAGACAGGGCGCGTTATCGAATTTTGCGTAGTACTCAGCAAGCTTACAATGCGCAAAGTTAACGTTTGTAATAAGATGATCTTCAGGCGCATCTAGATCTTCGTAATTTACATCCTTAGGGCGGGCTTTGAGAGCCTCAAGCCTGGTCAAGAAAGCCACTCCAACGTTACCTAGAATCTCCCAATATAGCGCCGTGGCGCCCGGTTCGGCCGCGCACTTCAAGTAGCCGAGGAGGTTTCGGCAAAGGGGACAAAGAGTCAAATGATTTCGGTTATTGCTCACAATTCCTGCCTGTTACAACACCC